ATTTAATGTGTTTCCTGACTTCTTTTATCATCAGGTAAGTAAAATTCTCCACGAAACTTTTGAAGCTGTTGGTGCCAAGGCGATGGTGGTCGGGCATACTCCCCAGTTATCCGGCGTAAACTGGTACATTTATAGAAACTCACTCCCAAAGGATCTGAATCAGGATTCAATCCAGTCCCAAGCGTACCTGGGGCACTCGATTTATACAACTCGATAATGAAATATATGGTTTTTCCTGATAGTGAATATGGTTGCAGCATATGGAGAGTTGATGTAGGAATGTCCAGTGGTGTTCTTGACTCTAGACCAGAGGTACCTAACAATCTTGGTTCTTGATTCTTCACTTCTTTTTATCATTCCTACATATATTATTCTCAGAGATGATGACTGACTCTGGTGTTGTTTCTGCAGGTTTTGGAGATAATAGGAGACAAAGCTAGAGTTATAAGGAGCAACCGAGACAGACTTCATGAACTTCAAATTGCAGATTACATCTAACAAGCATTTCAAAACAAGAACCAAACTTTCATGTCAAGAAACTTTTCACCATTTTTCTCAGCATGAAAGTAAAATAGCAGGCAGAAGTTTCCAGACAAGACCCAGTTGAGTGACACCAAACTTTGAGCTCCATGTATATGAATCATCAGAAACATACGGTATTGACCAAGTAAAGGTTTGTATAGCAGAAGACAAGTTAGTTTTTTACTTTCGAGTTTTGTATTGAGAAAATTTGGATGTCACATTGAACAATATCTCGAAAGATTCGAACTTTTATAGCCCTGAGAGAAACCCAACACGCAAAGGAGGAAACAAAGTTATTGAGATTGATAAATTCAGAAGAAATACTGTTTAGTTCTGAGAAGTAGATCTCAATCTTCGAAGCTGATCAACCCAACGATCTTCAGAAGCCCAATCAGGTGCATTTCCAGGGAACGAGATTGCACGCATTGCCTCCATAACCCTAGCTGCATTGTCCGCCATTAACGGCGATCTTCTACGACGTTCGTCTTCCTCAAACGCTGTACGAATCTCCGATTCCGGCGCCTCTGTCTCCGCCTCTGTATCTTCTTCGCTCTCACTCTTGGGCTCTGCGTGTCCGTTTATACTAATGGAAGAGATTCGTTCCTCTGTTTCCGGGATCATACAATGGCCGTTAGAGAGTCCGTTGCTGAAGCCATCTCCACCGATCGGACTATAGTTGTCTTCTTCATTGTTTCCGGCATCATCATCATCTCCGCAGTCTAGATCGACGGCTGAGATGGGCTCGTAATAGTCTTGTGAATCATCGACGGTGTTAGTGTCTGAGTCGCTACCGGCGTTGTTCTCTGCAAATTATGCATCCAGCTACCAATTTAGCAGATCCTAATTAATTTTGAAAATCT